GAAAGTTAGCCGTTAACACTGCTGAATAAATATAATATAAATCATCAAAGTTACATATACAGTGGTTAATAAGGACATGATGGAACATCGTAGGCCACGAAGGCTTCATGGTTGAACAGGTCCAAATAACCGTTGGGAACATTATTACACAATGGTGCGCCTCACGAGGGCGTTCGGCCAGATAAATTATCTGGAGAAACGGCTAGAAATAAATACTGTCATATATTTTATATGATATTGAAAGAAGTTAGTCGTTAACACTGCTGAATAAATATAATATAAATCATCAAAGGTACATATACAGCGGTTAATAAGGACATGATGGAACATCGTAGGCTACCCTGTAGCTTTTCAACGAATAAAGTCCTATAAAAGTCATTGTGTAATAAAATTCCTCCGACGGGATTCGAACCTGCGACCTCTCGCTGACAAGGTGAGCGTCATAACCACTAGACCACGAAGGCTTCATGCTTGATAGTACTGATGAGTATTTTACCCCCTTATCCTTTCCTTTTACCGTATTTCCTCTACCCTAACGTTCTTCTCCAGAGTAGCCTACATTTTTCATGACACCTCATTTCCTTCTGCCAATCAGGTACAGAAAATAGCAGTTTTGCTTGCATACTTAACTTACCCAGCAACAACTCAGAACCTTGCCACCCAACTCTTACTTATAATTTCACCCAGTTTGTGTGTGCATAATTTTTAATTTCATCACACTACATTCCGTAAAGTTACATGGCGCAAATTGACTGTAAGTAGTGTAGTTAAATGATTTGTTTACTAAAATGAACACAAATACCTAGCATGTTTTGTTTTTTTTTTTAGGTTGTACGTGTTTCAATCTACCCATTCATGCATATATTCCATATTGCCCAGGTGTTTGGCAATTTGCCAATTGCATAGAAATATAGGTCTTGTAGAGTTTATTTTAGTGGTTTCCATTTCCAGTCATGTGATTTGTCCGGTCTTGTGACCATTGTGATTTGACAAATTTGACCTACTATCAACAGTTGTGATGAAATTATCAAAGGTTGATCAGATCATAAACACAGTATGAACACAGGTACCTTGAATGTGTGTAAAGAAGAAGATCACACTGTCTGGAACTACTACAGTTTATAGGGTATATAAAGTAACTTTATAGAGTATCAGTTGGTAAGTAGGCCTAATCCTACACAATTAGTTGTGTCATATACACATGTTTTTTCATGGAATACTACAATAGTTTTTCGAGAATGCTTATAAAACCAAATGATTTTTATCAATGGTATTTTATTAAGTTGATTTATATGTCAGTGTCAAAGTTTAGATTTGTCATTCATACTTCCTTGTAATTATGCACAGTGCCCTAATGGGAAACTGAACTGCAGTGTTTTTTTTTAATCATATACTCTTATTGGCATTCTCTTTATTTTGCACAACCAGGTAATTAACATATAGACATGTTGTGTGGTACTATTCATATGGAATTGTTTGCATAAATAATCTATACATCATAAATGAATATTTAAATTTCATTTTGGTTTTATTAATGATGCATGTTCTTATTTGAAATCCCCTCAGTGGCAAAATATGCATGCACTTTGGCATGCTGCATACCCATATCATTCTTTAAATCTTGAATTGTTCACTAATTGTTTTTATCTTGCATTTGATATTGTATTGTATTGTATGTACCACAATCAGAATATCCAAGTTTTATCTTTTATTACAGTAATTGCAAATAAAGAATTTAACACTGTTCAGGTATTATAAATCAGGGGTATGATCCGGGATTTAAGGTTTCGTGGGTGCAGGAAACAGGGCTGTATTTTTTGTGTAGTACAGAGCTTGGGGAATTTTGACAAGTCAAACACCTGGCTTTTTTAAAAAGTAGGGTAAACATCACTTAACTGTAGCCATACAGTTTTTAAAGAGTTTTGGTTCTATATATCAAATAATGTCTAATTTATGCCAGTATTGTTGTACAGGGAGTCTCTATCAACTGTGAATCATACATGCACACTATCAAATTTTCTTTGACAAAAATCTGTTGTATGCCGATATATAGCCGTGATATGCCTATGTATGGTCATGATGTGATGTCATCATGACCGTATTTAAGCATGTAACATGTTTTTGTCAAATATAATTTGATAGTCTAGACAGGGCTTTGCACATAATGTTGCTATTTTTTGGGGTTTATTTATTCACAGGCTTTCACATTCAAAGGACATATTGTACAGTAATGCGATCAATTCTTTGGTTTCTCTATTTCCTGCTTGCGTTTGTGTCTACTTCAAGTTATAACAGTGAGTGTGATGTTTATATTTTTACTCATGTTCACTTTATCCACAATCTACAATAGTGATTATGTTGTATATAGTATTTTATAAGATAAATATATAAATTACCAAAAAACATATTAAAATGATTTTGTAATAATTTAATAAGCAGTAATTAAAATATTGCACTGTATGTCAAATTAATCTCTTCAACCACTAACTACAGTTGTAAATTATTGTGTTGTATTCAGTATTTTATTAAATGTTCATCAAAAAGTTAGCAAAATAAATATATAAATTACAAAAACTCTTTAATATGATTTTGTAATAATTTAATAAAATAATTAAAATATTGTACTTTATATCAAATTTAATATACAATACATTAAAATTTCTAGTTAAAACTATAAAGATTTATGAACAGTTGTATGTGAACAGTTGGCCAATATTTGTTGCACAATAATGTTTAATATCACACATAGGCTATGTTCAGACCTTAGAGATACGCCAGGTCTATCTAACGCCTGGCGTATGTTAATCCATGGTGTAAATAGCGAGATGTGCAGACTGGGCGATTAATAAACTCTAGCGTAAATATTCGCGCAAAATATTCATATTTGTAATCAGGCATTTTATTTCCTGTTTGCATCTAGGCTTATCGCAATCGGTGAAATCATTGATGCATGACTCGTAACTCAGTGGCGTACGCTAATCTGGGGTCTGTTGCGGATTACTTTATGCCAGTGAATGTGCGATTGTACTGGCGTTTGCTAGGCAGTGCACAAGTTCACACCACTAGGTTAGCGTAACTCGTGTCTGAACATAGCCTAAATATAAAATTCACAATTAAAAGTTTGTGGCGGACCCAAAATTGTATTGCCTTCAGGTGCATAGGTATGAGCTGTGCAGCCAATGCAAGGCACTGGGGCCCGGGGCTATTTGTTACCCATTCATTAGGCCTATAGATCTAAAATATTAGAAGGACCCATCAATAGGTGGGGCGGATGTAGAATTTAGCGGTAGAGGGTGCGTGAGAGTCCACACCACAAAAATTTTAAGAATATGGACTTCTAGGTGCCCGGAAATTGCACTTTCGTACAATTTAGGGGGGTACAATCACACCCTCTGCGCCCCCTCTGCATCCGCCCCAGAATAGTATTAGGTTTCAGAGGCCATTATTATTGATTATGCTTATTACAATGTACCTATTATGTGCAGTGGTGGATCCAAGAATTCAAAATAGAGGTGGCCCAGGGAAGGACAGATGGGGTATACCACCTCATGGTTGAGGCTAAGGTATGAAAATTTATGATTATGGCACCTCTAGATTGGGTGAAAATAGCACTTTTTTTAATTTTAAAAAGAAAGTAATTGGGGTGGGGGGTTTTTGGCGGACCAGCCTGGGCCCTTTGAATCCACTAATGACGTGCCACCAAACACTGAAAGTAGGATAACTTTTAAACTTTCTTACCAAAAAAAAAAGCCATGAACAGCTTCATATATTTTGAATTCATTCAAGGCTATTTTCTTTCATTCAGGTGTTAACATATGCATCAGTCTGCTTGAGTCTGATGCAGTAAAAATACTTTTTTGAAAGCATATTTCAGCAATTGAATTATTGGCACGCATGTTTTTGTTCTCTATTTTAAAGTTTGTTCAGCGACATTGTTCATGTTTTTGAATGACGTCAGGTGATTATACTTGAATACATTTTAGATTTAGTTCACCACAAGTAGGTGGATGATTGTTCTATTGTTGTCAATAGTTTACTTTATCAGAGACTCATGAAATGCCCAATAGGCCCTAAACAAAATAAAATATGACTTTTTATATCCTTGGATATTTTTTTTTCGAATATTGTTATAGATATTTCTGCGTGTTATGCTTTATTGTCTGTTTAAAAACATCTCAGAATGTAGAAGCATAAAGAGTTTGGCCTAAGTAAACACCACCAAGGCTCTGTCTTTGTGTCCGATCAGATGCATTTCAGAACACGTTACCCCGACTAAATGTCCTCCAGACTCACATTTGTGAGCTGATCAGAAAGAAGCCTTGTATCCGTCTTTTCACGCTTGACATTAAAGGGCCCAGCAATTAATTATCTTGCACTGGGGCTACACCACCGATTGCCTTGGTGGCACGAGAGGTAATCGAGGGCCTAAGGTTCAAAGGTAAGTATTCAACTCAGAAATTAAACATTCAAAAACAAACAATAACAAAAATGTAATTTGTCCAAAAGAAAGAAAGCTGACTTCTGTACTAGTAATTAACTATATATGCTGCCTATTTTTGATTTTTTTTTTTCTTTTTATGTTTACAGCAAAATGGCAAAAATATAAGGAAATAATTGCTGGACTGCAAGAATATGATGAACAACTGCAGAACCTGAATAAACAAGTATCAGAGCAAACAATCAAGGTATGTCCAGGAAAAACCCAGAATTCAACTCAATTAAACCCAGGCATGGAATCATGATCCATAAATATGGTTTTAATTCCAATGGAGGCAAAGGTCAAGAGGGGTCCATCGGGCTTATGTGGGGGTCGGGGGTTTAAGTATTCATGAATGTAAATTCAGTTTCATCATCATTTTGATAGTGTTTGATGGTTTGGTTTGTTAGAAGGGTTTGTTCTCAAAGATGGTGGGTCGGGGAGGAATTCAAAATCTGAACTATATCCCTGATTGCAGATCTGCCATCTGTATGCAATGCTTCAGTGCTGGTACTTGTTATGTAGAAGCCAGTGGCATATATAGGACTATTAAATTGGGGGTGAGGGAAGGTAGATTGTTTACATTAAATTTAGTAATGTTGGATTTTTCAGGATTTAAACCCAGGATTATAAGGCAGTCACCTTAACCACAAAGTCACTGATCCACTTCTATCTGCTTTCATTTTTCTTTTCAATGATTATTTCTATTATTTATATGTAATGCTTTGCATTTTTAATTTCATTATTTTTTACAGGATGCATTTATGTCTGACTTCCCTTGCCCACCATCAAAATCTACAGAGAAACCAAAATCAGGTAAGATCTATAGCTTAACAATTTCCCTGCAATATTGCTTTTGTTTATATGTTCCTGTTTATATCATAGAATATTATTTATATGAATATATGAAAGTGATAATTGTTTTGCAAATTTACAATAGGCCTATTAACTAGTTTTCCTTTCTAATATTTTCATGTACTAAGAGTCTGTATGGCTCAATTAAAAACCTGAAACAAGTGAACAGCCTAGTTATCGTCTGTTGGATAAAACTGGTGACCATAGTAACAGAGTATTGATTTCATCAGGGGTTCACTGCAGTTTCTTTTATATAAGGAAACTTTAGGAGATAGTAAAGAAACACTAGAATGAAAAAGGAAGGAAATGTTAAGGGAACATAAAATAGAAAAAGGAAATGGGATTGGGAAATACAGGCAAGGGTTGTTGGAAGGAAAGAAAAGAAATGAAAAGCCAAACACAAAACAAAATGTAAACAATGAAATAGTTGAATAGATAAGAAAACTAAAACAAAATGGAAAAGAATTTTAAAAAATAGGATGAGAAGGTAATTGATAACAAATTAGTTGAAATTTTAGTAATTAAACAATAATTAATAATTTTAATAAAATTAACCTGTTATTATTCTGATAAATTTCTGATTATTAATTTGATTGCATAAAGATTTATGCTAATTTTTAATCATCTTTTCTTTTAATTCTGATCCAGCTTTTGCTCTTAATGTAAAGTGCATAGTAATTTATAGCATTTTGCACTATATAGAAATATATTTATTATTATCATTAGTATTAGTATTATTTTTGTATTCAAACGATGCCGTACTGTAGGTTAAACTTGCATTCATTTTTTTAATTTTTACTTTCGGTGTAGTCCATCAATTGCGACCAGGTGATATTAATGTTATTGCTGCTATGGGAGATTCATTAACAGTAAGTTTCTCTTTATAATATGACTTTTATGATTTAGTTAATATTTTAGACTTATGTAGTGCCTAATGCCGTCTTCTAAGTGCTACACATTGTTACCCCCACCCCCGCGTTAATTTATAGAAGCGAAGTACACAGTGAGTGATTGAACCCTGATCTCAAGGTTGAGAAGCTATACTTCAACTGATATGCCAAACCATTTCTATTTCATCTTGATAAATAATATAATAAAATAATAAGCATATATCAATATGCTTTTGAGACTGACATTATTATTGTTAGTTTTAAATGTTGTATATATTGTATGCTGTATTTCAACCTTTATTTTACAATACAATTGAATTTTCTGGTATTTTTTTCAGGCAGCAAATGGAGCAGAAGCTAGTACATTAATTGGTGTATTAACTGAATTTAGAGGCATATCATGGTCGTAAGTAGGCTGTCTTTGCCAGTGCCAAATAAAAGGGGCCCCCCTAAATTTATCAAAATAATATTTAAATTTAATCTGAATCTCTAAATTACGAAAATAAAAACAAAATGCAGTAAAATAAATTTACAATTAAGTTTAAGTATGAGAGTGCCATTTCCAGCCATCCAGAGGTGCCACAATCATAAATTTTCTTTCCTCAGCCCCATCATGGTTGGGGTGGACCCTCTATCTGTGAAAGTACCTCACTGGGCCCCTTTATATCATATTCCTGGATCCGCCACTGGGGAATGCCATTTCCTGCTATCTAAAGGTGCCACAATTATAAATTTTCTTGCATCAGCCCCAACCATGTTGGCTATATCAAATTGCTGGGTCCGTGAGTGTATTCCCCTCCCCCCCCCCCCCCCCCCCCACCCAGCATTTGAATACACACTGTAGCTTTTCTAAGACTATGAATGTTTTATCTGTAGGATTGGTGGTGATGATGATATAACTGAAGTTCACAGTTTACCAAGTAAGATTCAAAATAATTTCTCCTCAGAATATTTTAAAATAGGATATTAAATATATATCGTACTTGAAACAGCGGCATAATGAGGGACCACGGGAAAGAAAAATTTCAGCAATGTAATTTTGCTAACAAAATGACTTAGTGGTGTTTAATCCTCTACCTGAAAAGATATAAATAAGGCTGAAAAAACTGCATCTATTGTTATACAATGTCAGTTCCTTTTGTTTTTTAATTGTGTATGTAGGAGGTGCCCCGTAGCCCTTTCTGGTCCCTTATAAACTGGGAGATTGGAGCGCAACTAAGTAGTCACACATAAGATTGCTTGTTATGTTATATTTATTTTTTTATTATTATTGTTCATTATTTTAGTTATATTATTATTATTTATAGGTGTAAATTTTGCCCTACCTGACATGGAAATGTACCGAATACTCAGTACCTTTGAAAACAACTGCGAAAAAAATCGCAAGTTGTTCTTGGGTGGGACTCGAACCCACGTTCTCCAGATTACTAGCCTGGCATCATACATCTAGACCACCGAGCTTGCACCTGATGGCCAGGGTTGAATTCGAGTCCAAGTAAGCAGTGGGTACTGCTATCTAAAGGTGCCACAACCATAAATTTTCTTTCCTCAGCCCCAACCAGTGTAATTTTGCCCTAATTGTTATTGTTATTATTATTATTATTGTTATTATTATTATTATTATTATTATTATTATTATTATTATTATATTAAAAATGATTCATTATCTCCTTAGATGTTTTTAAATACTACAACCCATTAATATATGGTTTTTCAACTGGAACTGGCACTGAAAATCGAGCAAATTCCAAATTCAATGTGGCTGTACCAGCGTCCATATCAGAGTAAGTCTGTTTTCATATCCATTTTTTTAATTTTCTATTTTCATATTTTGGAGAGGCATTATAGCTTCATGGTTTTAAAAGTGCTTGTCTTTAAATTCCACTCTCCTGGGTTGAAATTTTTATGACTTTTTCTCCCTAAACATGCATACTACATTAAGTGTAATAAGTGCCCAGTGCTCTACATTTCCAGGCTTTTACAGTAGAGGAGTCCTTTTTAAAATTATTGAGTAAGCATTTTTCAAACTTTTCAAGGAAATTTTTTTTTGAGGATTTTGTGTTTTGGCTTAAAATAATGTACCTTTATTAGCAATTGAGAAAATATCAATTATGAAAATATTTAGTTGTTTTTTAATAAATAAAGCTAAAAAAAGTTATTGTATATCGTTTTGAAAGGCAGTAGTTGTTTCAATAAATGCTTCATGTTCCACATTTCCATCCAGAAAGAGCTAATTTTTCTATTTGTATTTTTTATTTATTTTATTTTAACAATATTAAAACAGGGTAGCCCTTTCAACTTTTCCGAAAGGGAGGCTGATGTTCAAGGGCCCTCTTTAATGAATAGAATATAATATCGTACAATAAATCACCACATGAAAACAACAAAAAAGTAGACATGATGCCTCTATAATGCCTGTCTAGTGCCTTTTTAATATGGAAAGTGTGGAGATGCTAATTTGTGCATGGTTTAATATCCATTCTATTACTGGTCAACGGTACTCTCTACTGTAA